AATATACTAACTGCATTTTGGCTGATTGGGTGATCAACTTATTTTTGTAAGTCTTACCCACCAAATGGCAGAATCACAAGAGAAACAATTCACTTCCTGCACCCTATCAGACTTTGAGCTACACTGCAAATCCCACAATGTCAAATTGAAACAACTCTCAACATTCTACAAACTTTCCAAACAGACTATGCCAACCCCTTACCCTCATCATGGAGTTTTGGCCCACAGACCTCAATAACCAACTCACTACATTGCAATGGAAAATAGTTTTTACGCAAATACACAAGGCCTCAAACTGCAACAATGTACAGGAAAGTGGTTATAAAAGAATCTCCAGGTGGTATTACTCCCCATCCAGACTATACAACCTATTGCCATATACACCAGACGCTTGTTGGTGCTCCAAACCTGGGACATCCATAGCACACACCTGGTCGCACTGCCCGCAAATTCAGACTTACTGGACCAACATAGTAAAAATGACCAAAATAGTGATGGAATTCCAACTCCCTCTTACACCACATACCTTGGTGTTCTTGATTTTTCCCCGCTCCATCCCCAAGCCACAATGTATTCTCCTTACTCACCTCCTCAGATCTGCCAACTTACTCATTCTCGTAAAATGGAAGAATTCCAATGCTCCATCCACTTTACCAAGAGGTGTGGGGGCAATGGGTAATATTCATGACAGAAAAATAACCTATCTTCCCTGCCTACGATACCATCTATGCCATACCACCCTCTGACAGGCCTTGAGTCATACAGACTCCCTTCTCCTCCGGTCTCCCTGCTCCCTTTACCTGCTCCTCCTGTCTGCTTCCTCTCATAGACCTCCCGCTCTACTGGTCTCCCTGATGTCGTGTGGACCACTGTCATCAAAACCGGTCGTGTTGATCTCGTCGGTGACCAGGGTTGGGGGTCCACCCCAACTCACCATAACGATATGCCATGTATTTAATAAACTCACATCCGACACCAGCACTGGCTCTTCTACTCCTATACTTCCTGTTTACTGTTGCCTGTTTTATAGTTCCAGTGCTTACCCACCGATTTATATTGTTATAACAATAGCGTAACAATTATCTAAATATATCCACCCATTAGTGGGCTAAGGCCATCAGCTGAATCCAACCCTGAACAATATCCCCATTGCACATTCAGGTACATACGTTCCCCAAACCCACTCAAGGGCTTTATGATACACTAAAACTATGTACAAACTGAAAATGGAAGGTACTTGACTGAATACTAGATGTACTACCCTTTCTGTGATGTAATACCCTACTGTGTAACTATTCTTCATCTATTGTTGACAGGTGTCACAAAAATCGAGCCTGTATGACTTGAAAACTTGCCATGGGTATTGTACAACTTAGAATTACAATAAAGCTTTAAAAAAAAGTAAACAACTCACATAATGAACAAACATGTTTATATTGATTTGTGATTAGAAGTTATCTTCCTCAAAAGGGAATGGAGAAAAGGATAAGAGGTCTGCCCAATCATTTGGGCTGTATCTATTGTCAAGTGGTGGAAACAAAGATGATTTATGGTTAGATGGAAGCCACTAAATGTTCTTTTTATTCACAGATCAAGTGACAATTGACCAATATTAGGAAGGAGCAGTAAAAAATCTATATGTCCAAGTAGTATTCATTCAGGCACTTTGACTTCAGCTGTTGAGGGAGGCATACCATCAGTGATTGTGTTTGTTTTGCCATTGCTGTGTCTGTGTGGGAGATGGAGATTTCCAATGTCATTGTTCCTAGTGTGAGACTATGTTTAGGTTATTGTTTTATCCACTTAGCTAGCTACTGTCAGTGATACTTAAAACAACTTTGATGGAAAATTGGAGATAGCCTGTTTCAGTAATCCTAGTGTGAGACCGTCATTTATGTTAGGGTTGTGTCTACAGCTAGCAGCCACTGCCACTTAACACCAACTTTGGTCTTCTTTTGATAAGTGTTTTTAGAAATAACATTATTTTTGGTGAGCATGTTGTAGTGTTGTTCATTAAAAGTGAGAAAAAAAACAAAGTAAAAAATAAAAAGTTCATCTTGCCTAGCTACTGCCAAAGTGAATGATTGATGGGAAAAAGAAGATGAGCGATGGCTAGGAGACGATCACTAAATTTTGATTTTATATACAGATAAAGTGAGAAGTGAACCATAGATGAAAAAATAGGAAGATCATTAAAAAAGTAGAGTTGAGCGAACCCGAACTGAAAAGTTCAGGTTCGTACCAAACATTAGGTTTTTTGGACCCCGGACCCGAACACGGACATTTCAGTGTATGTTCGGGTTGGAGTTCGGTGTTCTGCGATTTAATGGCGCATTTTGAAAGGCTGCAGGGCAGCCAATCAAAAAGCGTTTAAATTGTGTGCCCTTAGAAGCCATCACATGCCTACTACTGGCATGGCTGTGATTGGCCAGTGCAGCATGTGACCCAGCCTCTATATATAAGATGGAGTCGCGTAGCGCCGCGCGCACATGCAGCCTTATTAGTGTAGGGCGAGGATGCTGCCACTGATAGGGACAGCTTAGGAAAGAATTCTGCAAACTAGTACATTAGTGGGGTTGGGTGCACTTCATATCTGAGAGTCAAATAGAAGCTTCAAATACCGCAGTTACATCGGAGTTTTAAAAAGTAATATTTTTTTGTGCTAAATAGTATATTAGTGGGGTAGTACATTAGTGGGGTGCACTTCAAGAGCGTCAAATAGAAGCGTCAAATACTGCTGTCACATTGCAGTTTTAAAACTTAAAAATGTATTGGGTCCTAAACTGCTAAATAGTATTTTAGTGGGGTTCACTTCATATCTGAGAGTCAAATCGAAGCGTCTAATAGTGTGCTTACAGCGCACTTGTAAAAATTCTAATTGTTTTGCTGCTAATCTGCTAAATAGTACATTTTGGGGCCTGCGGTACACTTCATATCTGAGAGTCAAATAGAAGCATCTAATAGTGCGCTTACTGCGCACTGGTAAACATTCTAATTGTTTTGCTGCTAAACAGTACATTTTGGGGCCTTTTCTTCATATCTGAAAGTCAAATAGAAGCATCAAATAGTACGCTTACTGCGCAGTGGTAAACATTTTTATTTTCTTGGTGCTAATCTGCTAAATAGTACATTTTGGGGCCTGTTCTTTATAACTGAGAGTCAAATCGAAGCGTCTAATAGTGTGATTTCTGCGCACTTGTAAACATTGTAATTGTTTTGCTGCTAATCTGCTAAATAGTACATTTTGGGGCCTGTTCTTCATATCTGAGAGTCAAATCGAAGCATCTAATAGTGTGCTTTCTGAGCACGTGTAAACATTCAAATAGTTTTGCTGCTAATCTGCTAAATAGTACATTTTGGGGCCTGTTCTTAATTTCTGAGAGTCAAATTGAAGCGTCTAATACTGCGCTTACTGCGCAGTGGTAAACATTCTAATTTTTTTGGTGCTAAACTGCTAAATAGTACATTTTGGGGCCTGTTCTTCATATCTGAGAGTCAAATAGAAGCATCCAATAGTGCGCTTACTGCGCAGTGGTAAACATTCTAATTGTTTTGGTTCTAAACTGCTAAATAGTACATTTTGGGGCCTGCTCTTCATATCTACAAGTCATGCTACAACAAAATTAAACAAGTTTTAAAATATGTATGGGCCAACCAGTGGCTGTAAACAACAAACTGGTTACATTCATGACTATACACTCTAGTGAACAGGACCTTCATGTAGTGTGTTCTTTTTAAAAAAAAAAAATCATACAGCATCCTTTCATGTGCTTTTCAGATGTCATATTGTGAATTACCAATTTTTGTGTAGCCTGATTTTTATTTATTTTTTTAAAGTGAAAAATAAGTGTTATTGTGATCGCTTCATATACAGAAGCATTAATATACATTTCTATATTGTGTAAAGACACAACTACAAAGTTAAAAACCAAACACCAAAACAACGTGCCAGACAATCTAACTGTGCATGGCTAGTGTGATACAATAAGTCTACATCCTAAAAATGCAATAACCCACAGATGATGGGCGAGAATTTTTTTTGCAAATGGAACTTTGATTCAAATTTATTACATCGGTCACTTGTAATATTGTTTCACACCTACAACACTTGTTACACAGATCTAAGTGATAGAAAACAGATGGATATTTTCTACACTAGAAACTACCAGATAACAAGCTGCTATATTTAAACCAGTGATCAATAGCTAAGAGGTACTTCAACAATATTGTAATTCTGGGGCAATACCCTCACAAATCAAACTGAGAGGTCAGGGAAAACTGTTGCCTGGAGGAAATTCTAAAACAATTTCCATATGTCCTTTGCAGACTTTACATGCTGGAAAAACACAGGTGCCAACTGCTGTGGCTTTCTGCAGTGTGCATACCGGCAAGGAGGGCAGGGTTGAGGAGTGGGTGGAAGATGATGTGGAGGATGATGAGGTCTTAGACCCCACATGGAATCAAGGTCATGCGAGTGACGTGTGCAGTTTGGAGGAAGAGGCGCTGGTCGCACAGCATAAGAGGGAGCAGAGTGCAAAAGCGGAGCGGCCGTCCCCTAGCGCTCGTCGGCATGTATTAGCTCAAGAATTACCAGTTATCCAAGTAATACATGTAGCGATCAAAGGATCCATAATAGACTTGAGCGAACCCGAACTGCAAAGTTTGGGTTCGTACTAGATTTAACGATCCATTCGTAGTTTCACAGTGAGGAGGGCAGTCCAGTGACCAGGACCCAGACACTGTCAGGATGTGACATTCACTGTAGCAGCTGTGCGCGCTTTTGGCTCGCCTGTCTGCGCTGCAGCATAACTTTGGCCTTCCCGCTCACCGCCTCATGAGACTTTGCGAGCAGCAGCAGGCGATAGTGGAGTTTCAGCTGCAGCACGCACGGGTCAGTGGCTCTGCACCAGACTTCCCTCCAATTGATCAGAGTTAAAGGATTTCAAGTGGACTTATTACAATTACACGGCCTCTAAAGAGTCCTGTATTGTTATTTGTCGTCACTACCTTCCCGCGTCGGGAGTGGGTCATTTGCGCAACTGCTGCCTACCTTGCATGTGGTAGCTGTTTCTCAGGATCCCTGTACGGAATGGAACCCTGATTCCCCGTTACCCGTGGTCACCATTGTAGACGCAGAAACTGGCATCAAAAGTTGATATGGATGACATCCGCATGCAAAGTCGCCGCCACTGGCTTGTGCGATTTGCCTGAGGTTCTCTAGAGTCAACAAAGTTCCTGCACAACTATAATGTCAACAGCTACTCTGCGGAACAGAGTTGTCTTTTTTCATATGATCCAATATTTTGGGGGCTACCCCAATAAAAAAAATATATATATATATATATATATATATATATATATATATATATATATATATATATATATATATATTTAAATATATATAAAAACAGTGTTGGCTACCTCATCCTCCACCGCCACGGTCACCGCCTCCTCAACCTATGGGTCACTTAGTATAAACTAGGTACACATTAGCAGAGGCTTGTGAAGGCCTTTTCTCCATGCATCAGGACTGCAATAAATGCACCGCAGGCCGCAAATGTTTCTTTATTTGTCCCAATATTTTGTGGGCTGCCACAATTAAAAAAAAACAAAAAAACATAAAATACAGTGTTGGCCAGCTCATCCTCCTCCTCCACCGCCACGGTCACCGCCTCCTCAACCTATGGGTCACTTAGTATAAACTAGGTACACAATAGCAGAGGCTTGTGAAGGCTTTTTCTCCATGCATCAGGAGTTGAGCATTTCTCCATGCATCAGGACTGCAAGAAAGGAACCGCAGGCCGCAAATGTTTCTTTATTTGTATGTCCCAATATTTTGTGGGCTACCACAATAAAAAAATAAAAAAATACAGTGTTGGCTACCTCATCCTCCTCCTCCACCACCACGGTCACCACCTCCTCAATCTGTGGGTCACTTAGTATAAACTATGTACACAATAGCAGAGGATTGTGAAGGCCTTTTCTCCATGCATCAGGAGTTGAGCTCAGTTTGAACAATGAAAGAGAATGCCCTGCACTCCAACCCTCTCTCAAATGGATAATTCTGTTGATCCTCCTGACAGCTATGCTTTAGATTTTGATTTATGTTCTTCCAAAGCTAAATTCAAAGATTCCATCTAGTGTGTTTTTATGGCTCAGCTGTATTTTTAATTTTTATGTTATTTTAAGTGATTTCCCTATCCACATTTGTTTGCAGGGCACTTGTTCTACTCTTACCCCCATTTTACTTCCTTTTGCAGCTCTCTAGCCCTTTCCAGGAGTTTTTTAGAGGCATTTTTGTGGCCAAAAGTTCGGGTCCCTATTGACTTCGAGCCCGAACCCGGACTTTTTTTCAAAGTTCGGCCGAACCTGCCGGACCCGAACATCCAGGTGTCCGCTCAACTCTATAAAAAAGTCTATATTCATATATTTATTTTTTAAGATATATGTTATTAGTTACTTTTTCTCACTTCATCTGTGAGCCATGTGCCAGGAAAATGCTCCTATCAGTCTACTGCAAAATATATACATAATACTGTACTATCTATATATTTTGCAGCACATCGATCGGCTCATTTTTGCACCTGTTTGGCTTCTGATTTAGTTTCTGAAACTACATTCGGAAAGAATTATTCGGCAAAACCAATAAATCTCACACATCTAGTAAAAACTTAAAAGAAAGAAGCATTCCTCTTGCCAAGCTACTGCCACAGTCGCACTCACACAGACTTTGAGTGAGAGATAGCCTGTGTCATTCATCCAAGTGTGAGACTGGTGGCTAAGGTTACTGCTGTGCCTAATGCCAGTAGCCACTACAGCTTAACACCAACTTGGAATCACCAATTTACAGTTTGACAGACTCTTGTTTTTAAGTACAAGTATACTTTTTTGTACACATATCTTGTTTTCAAGTGTTTGCAGAAAGAAAATTATTTTTACCTTTTTTTCTGTGTGTGTTCAGTCAAGTGTTTGCTGAGCTAGTTTGTGAGCACTGTACAGTGCACTGTGTGCTGTGTGCAGTGTCTGGCTTCTTACACAAACACAATAACATTACAGTAATAAATCCACCAAGCACCAACCCATTTTGCCTAAGAAACAACAATTTTTTCTGAATAAAGTTGTATTTGTTAACACAACACACAATTCATATGCTAAATGAATTGTAATAAAAAAAAGAAAAGAAATAATCTCAAAAAGCAATTTAGAGAGGGTAGTCGTCAAGTTCCCCAATCAACCATCACCAATAGTGCCAAAGCCTCTGAGAGTCATAACACCTCTTTGTCAGGAAATTCTGGGATCCTACACACAGAGTGTAATAGAAAAGTAACGTTTACCGGACCTTAGAATGGCTGGGTTGGCGTCACAAGGACAGAGCATAAACAGGTACAAACCGAGGTCAGGAAAGCCAGAAATCAAACACAACAACACAAGCCGAGTCAAAGGGTAATAGAAAGAAGGGTATTCAAACAAGCCAAATTTAAAACCAAGAATACAATACTAGAGTACAATGCGCTATTGGGACTATAAGAACCACAACAGGGCATTGAGTCATGTCCTGAAGTTCCCTTTCATACTGTGCTTGTTTAATTGGTAGCCATGCCCTCAAAACGGTTGTATTCAAACTTTTTAGTGCGCTATGACGGGACTTTTGTGGCCGGCGCGAAAATCATTGGAAACCTTAGGAGAACTTCTGGACAGGTCCCCAACCTCCTGTAAGATGACATCAGTGTGTGGCACAGCCTGTGCTCACACATAAGGTACCCTGACGCTCTCCTTCAGTCGTGCCTTCTCAACCACCACTATTATTAGTATTCAGCCTCAGGATTGTGGGGTTAGCAGAATGTCTGTTACGTCAGCAAGAGGGCAATTGTTTTTTTTTTTTTCCTTTTCATGTTGCCAGGGCCGGCGCGTCCATAAGGCGGCACAGGCGGCCGCCTTAGGGCGCACCGGCCCGGGGGCGCAAATGTCCGGGTGACCGGCAGGAGGGAAGTGCACAGCTCCCCTCTCCTGCCAGTCACTTCTTGTAGCGTGGCCGAGCGCCAAGCTGCAGTGCCGCGGACTGTGTGGAGGGGGCGGGGATATGAACGTCATATCCCTGCTCCCTCTGTAGCACACAGCGCGGCTGGCGCCCAGCAGGGGCGGAGCTACCACCGGCCCCTTTTTTGTCAGCATGGGAGGAAGTCCTCCCAAGAAGACTAGAGCAGCAGAAGGCAGAGAGGAGGGGGGCTGGGCAGGACCAGCTCCTCCAACTCCCAACTACCTCAGGCAGCACTTTGGATCCCAGGTAAGCCACCCTCCTGAACCTGTTGGTCAGTGTGTCTGTGTGTGAATCCATGTCTGTCAGGTGTGTGTATCTGTCAGTGTGTGTGTATATGTCTGTCAGTGTGTGTGTGTATCCATGTCTGTCAGTGTGTGTGTATCTGTATGTCTGTCAGTGTGTGTGTGTATGTCTGTCGGTGTGTGTGTATGTGTCTGTCGGTGTGTGTGTATCTGTATGTCTGTCGGTGTGTGTGTATATGTCTGTCGGTGTGGTATTATCCATGTCTGTCAGTGTGTGTGTATCTGTATGTCTGTCGGTGTGTGTGTATCCATGTCTGTCAGTGTGTGTGTATCCATGTCTGTCAGTGTGTGTGTATCTGTATGTCTGTCAGTGTGTGTGTATATGTCTGTCAGTGTGTGTGTATCCATGTCTGTCAGTGTGTGTGTATCTGTATGTCTGTCAGTGTGTGTGTGTATATGTCTGTCAGTGTGTGTGTATATCTATGTCTGTCAGTGTGTGTGTGTATATCTATGTCTGTCAGTGTGTGTGTATTCATGTCTGTCAGTGTGTGTGTATTCATGTCTGTCAGTGTGTGTGTATCTGTCTGTCAGTGTGTGTGTATATGTATGTCAGTGTGTGTGTATATGTCTGTCAGTGTGTGTGTATCCATGTCTGTCAGTGTGTGTGTATCTGTATGTCTGTCAGTGTGTGTATATGTCTGTCAGTGTGTGTGTATCCATGTCTGTCAGTGTGTGTGTATCTGTATGTCTGTCTGTCAGTGTGTGTATATGTCTGTCAGTGTGTGTGTATCTGTATGTCTGTCAGTGTGTGTGTGTATATGTCTGTCAGTGTGTGTGTATCCATGTCTGTCAGTGTGTGTGTATCTGTATGTCTGTGTGTGTGTATATGTCTGTCAGTGTGTGTGTATCCATGTCTGTCAGTGTGTGTGTATCTGTATGTCTGTCAGTGTGTGTGTATATGTCTGTCAGTGTGTGTGTGTGTATCTATGTCTGTCAGTGTGTGTGTGTATATAAGTCTGTCAGTGTGTGTGTGTATCCATGTCTGTCAGTGTGTGTGTGTGTGTGTATGTATATGTCTCTGTCCGTGTGTCTGTGTGTATCTAAATGTCTGTCAGTGTGTGTGTCTATGTCTGTCTGTTAGTGTGTGCGTGTGTGGCAGTGTATGTGTATATGTGCATATATCTCAGCATTCAAACACCAACACTACACACAAATAAACACCTGCATTCAAACGTCAACACTACATACAAACACACCCCTGCATTCAAATGTCAACACTACATACAAACACACCTCTGTATCAGACACCAAAATTATATATAAACACACACCTACGTTCAAAAACCAACACTACACATAAATGCATGCTTGCATTCAAATGAAAACACTACATACAAACACACCGCTACAATCATACAAACATACTCCATACAAACACATGCTTACAGTCAAACACACAAATACTGCTCCATGCTAAATACAATCCTGCAAGCATGGGGAATCGGTAGAGCCCCAGCTTTCAAAGCATTGTTGAAGTTGCCCGACAGATGGGGATCTATCTTTTAGCCATCCTGTGTACATACACAGACCGTCATACAGAGACATACAGTATGTATGTCTCTGTATGACTGTGTGTATGTATTCAAAAGGAATAAACGCAGGCAACACTCCAATAGTACGGCTGGTATATTTATTGATAGGTGAACCACCCCAAAGAAAGTGCGTAGTTTCGGCTCAGCAGAGCCTTATTGCATGAGCTGAAACATCACACTTTCTATGGGGTGGTTCACCTACCAATAAATATACCATCCTTACTATTGGAGTGTTGCCTGCGTTTATTCCTTTTGAAGACTTTACTGGTGGATCCAGCGATGTCCGCCTGACACGGAGCATCCACCACTGTTGATGGCCGGAGCATTTACACGGTATCAGTGTGCAGGGTTCTTTGTTTGTCTGTGTATGTATGTCTCTGTATGCCTATCTCTGTTTCTTTTTGTCTGTGTCTGTATTTCTGTGAGTGCCTGTGTCTGTATGAATGTATGTCTGTGTTTGTATGACAATGTACCTGTATGTGTAGATTGTATGACTGTGTTTGTTTGTGTGCCTTTTATGACTGTGTG